AAATTCTCCCCAAAGTAATATATAAATCCAGTGGAATTCAAATTTGATGACCAATGGCCTAGTTCAGGACCATAAAAGTTAATTTTAAAATTCGTATGAGGGGAGCGACCAAGATGGCGGAGTAGAAGGCTGCTCGTAGCTCACCCTCTCCCGTGAGTACACCCACGGAGACATCCACAGACCCACCCATTCACTCAGAACACCTGCTAAACTGTGACACAATAGCGCCTTCTTCAAAAGATAAAAATACCTCACAAATCTGGTAGGAGAAAAAGAAAGAAGAAGAAGAAGAAGAAAAGGGAAATTAGTGTGGGACCTGTCTTGCAGCGACGAAGCACAAAAGGAGGATAGTGTTCTTACGCCGGGACTCATCTTAGTGAAACTGCAGAAATCCAAAGACAGAGAAAGTCTTAAAACGGGGAAGGAAATGATTATTTTCAAAGAAGGAACATTTAGATTGACTTCCTAGGAGCAAAAATGATAGCCAAAATCCAATGGAGTGATATTTTCATGTGTTGAAAGAATCCACAATGAAATAAAACCTGCCAAATGAGAATTCTATAACCAAAGAAAACACATTTCAGAAATAATGGTAGGGCCAGATCATAAAATAAAGAGAATTTGCCACAAGCAGGCATATCTCCTAGGAAATTCTTTAAAAAGTCCATCAGGCACAAGGAAAATGATTTCAGATAGGTCTGGGATGTAAAAGAGAATTAGACATGGAGGAAGTAGTAATACATATACAATTATAAATAGATATTTACTGAATAAACTATAATAATAATATTTTAGGACTTTTAAAAATTAGAAAGAATTAAGAAATATGAGAATCTTGTTTGGTCTTTGTATTTCTAAATTAGGGGCAGAGGATCTTCAGACACTCCTGACAACCATAGTGCTACTCTCCTGTCAATTCTATGAACTCAGATCTTGTGATTTAATTACCTTTGCACCTGCCAGTACCTAATAAAGTCTTTGGCCCCAGGGAAGCAGTATAGTGAAGGGATTCTGGGGTCAATTTCTTAGAATGGAGTCCTGGTTCTACCTCTTACCAAATGTAGAACCTGGAGAAAATTTTTTAATCCATCTGTGGTGAGTTTTCCTGATCTGTAATAAAGCTAACAATCGTTCCTATTTCATAGGACTGCTAGGAGGATTAAATAAGATGTGTCTGGCACAAGATGCAGTAAACAATCATGGTTATTGGGGAAAAAGGGGTGGGAAGGGATAAATTTGGGAGTTTGAGATTTGCAACTATTAACTACTATGTATAAAAATAGATTAAAAAACCAAATTTATTTTGTATAGCACAGGGGACTATGTTCAATATCTTGTGATAACCTTTAATGAAAAAGAATATGAAAACAAATATATGCATATATAGATATATGACTGGGACATTGTGCTATATACCAGAAATTGACACATTGTAACTGACTATACTTCAAAAGAAGATGCCTAATAATATTTAGCTACTTCTTTTTTTTATTGAAGTAGTTACAATGTGTCAGTTTCTAGTGTACAGCACAATGTCCCAGGCATGTATATAAATATTTGTTTTTGTTTTCTTTTCATTAAAGGTTATTACAAGATATTGAACATAGTCCCCTGTGCTATACAGAAGAAATTTTTTTAATCTATTTTTATTTATAGAGGCTAACATTTGTAAATCTCAAACTCCCAAATGTATCCCTTCCCATCACCTTTCCCCAGTAACCATAAAATTGTTTACTATGTCTGTGAGTCTGTTTCTGTTACTTCTATTATATGAAAAAATAGGAATTTACAAGTAAATTAGTTGTAATTTTTATGACTTACCTAGCACATGTAAACATTATTTGGTCTGTATATTTAATAACATCTGTTTATAAATTATCTTACTTACATTAAGTTTTAAAAACTCTTTTACAGTTTTGAAATAATTTATCTTTAGAACAATACATATAATATTAACCAACCTCACTCCATCTATTTTAAAATACTATTTCTGAAGAAAAGATAAGGCTCAAACCAATTTATTTCCCCTTGTAGTCAGCAATGTCAGAATACTTAGTTTTTCTTAGTCTGTTGCCTTCAAAGTGAGAAGGTATTTCATCTCAGTTCACTACACATTTCAAGATCATGCTACAATAATGTGCACAGTGTCCATTTCATGTGAAGATTCTGTATCTACAAGGTGCTCCCAGACATAGTGTCAGCCCATTGATTCCCACCTGAGCAGCCTATTGTGAAGAAGGCTTTTATGAAAGCCATTCATCACTGTCATTTACTACATAATTGAAAAGGCAAAACTTCTGATGAAAGATAAATATTAAACAGTGATGTTGAAATCATCATTCAAAAATGGCACTGGTTCTGGCAAATATTGTTACTGACTGACCGTACAGAAATTACATAGATGAGGTTTAGTAACATGGGCACACTGAGCACGTACAATGCTATTCTTCTTTGTGAAAGTTTACCAGCAATCTAAATTAGCCTACTACTAACTTTAACACTGAAAAAACACTGATACTGTTTATTTGCTATCTGCACTTCTTTTTTCTTTTTACCACCAATACCAAAATACCTTCTCAAGATCATTCTAGCTGCTTTATTATCCCTTCCTCACATTTTGGATCATATCTGGGAAACATGAACACAGAACTCCATCTAAGGAAAACAGTGTCGGCAGTAGACTCTCTACCATCATTAGTATGAGTTCAGACTCAAACTTTGACACAGAAAATCAGAAAAAAAAATCCTTCCTTGAGAAAATCCTTGAATTGGTCAATATTTTAATTAATTAACTAACTAATTAATATCTTTTCTATTTCATTTTTTCTCTACCTTTATAAAAATCTCATATATTACTACTTTTTATAGTATATACATGAAAATCTAAAGACTGACATGCATTATCCTTAGAACGAGTAGACAAAAGTGTACCTTCATTATTTTACTTTTAATATGCTTCATTGAACCATGATTACTGTATCTGCAAAGTACACCCAGGATAACTCACAGCCATGCAACACTCTAGTTTACCAACTGCTCTAACACTTTCCACAGACCTCATAAGAGCCCTGTGAGACGGGCAGATCTTGTGCCTGCTTCTATTTTCAAGAGGAAGTAAAACAGGAAAGATAAATTTGTATGGGAGCTTGATGCATAACACAGTGCCCTCAGGACAATTTAGTGTAAGAAGTGGGCTTAGAGTTTACAATTATATTACTTTCTCTTGTCTTTTTCTTCCTTGGCTCTAATACATAGAAACAGAACAAATAAAAGGAAAGATAAGCAATGTTTACAGAACAGATTTCAGATTTTTTGTATGTCTATTCTCCAAAATTGATTATGAGATAAAATTCCATTTTCATAAAAATCTTAGCAAATGCTTTACTTTTTTGTTGGAAAAATTCATCGGTGATGACAGAAATCAGAACAGTGGTTGCAGATGGAGGGTGGGCAGGGACTTATTGGAAGTAGATATGAAGAACTATCTGAGAAGATGGAAATGTTCTATATTTTGATTGGCATATGTGGTTACATGGATAGATACACTTGTCAAAATTCTAAGAATTGTTTATTCAAGAGCTGGATGTGGGTTGATCCCCAATATGGTTACTCTTTATTTATGTGGTTAGCACATCTCATTTGATCAGACTTCAATCTGGTAAGTCAGTCTTTCTGTTTAAAAACATACATAATCTAACAACCCACGCTATTCATTCATATGACATCCTATAAGTTAAGGAAGGAAGGTACACGAAAGAAGTAAAATTTCATAAGCTTTTTCACAAGAATTTAATACAGTCAGAAATACTGCTTTTTAATTTGCACTTACCTATCAGTCAGGTAAGTCAGATCTTTTCATAAAACTCTTGATTTCGTTTTTATACTAATAGTTGTTCTGCTTTGTTTTTGTTCATTTGGGTATTTAGATTTCCTCTTTTATGAATTGCCTCCTCCTATTTTTTGCCCCTTTTACTATTGGGTGTCCAGACTATTTTATTTATTCATAGTAGGGCTTTTTTTCCCCACATGCAAATTTTTAATTGGTTATATGTTTGAAATATCTTTCACTTTGCATCTCCTTTGTTTTGCAGAAATAGCTTTTCCTTTATGGAGTGCTCCTTATGTATCATATTTAGGAACAGGTATACACTTTATTTGTATCAATTACTTCTGCTTCTTTTCTGACTTGTAACTTCTTTGTCCATCCTTCAGTTATTTAGAAGAGGTTGGTTAAGATAATTATTATTTTATTTAATTTCCAAAGGAGTGGGAACAGGTAGGGTTGGAAAGGAATATGTAAAATCAAAGGGCAGGGGGATGGAAAAAGGGAAGTTACCTTTTTTGCTTCTAACTGATTTCTAATTTACTGCATTTTGTTCAAAGTTGTGCTTGTGGGATGTTGATTCTTTAAACTGAGGGGTTTGTGACATAGTACGTAGGTGATTTTTTTGTAAATTTGTGTTGGACTTCATGCATCCTTGAAAAGCTTGAGTGGGAAATCCCCCATGTAGAGTGTAGCCTAAAATAGCTTCCTGTGATCCTTCTGTGCTGATTAGTGAATATTTCTCTTGTTCACCATTTTACTAAGATAAAATATTAACAGAGAATTTTGAAGTTATCAAATTATTGTCATTAAGTGTCAACAGAATTAAAAGATGTAACATGGGTTATAAAGAAATAATTAAATAGATAATATTAAAAATACTGACAGTATACATGCATCTAGCTTTAAGAATAACAATAAAAGTTATTTTTGCTTTTACTAAGTTAATAAAAACTGTAAGAGCTTTGAAAATAATCGCAAGTACAAAATGTGTATTTCTTTACAGGTGAAAAGGGCTGCACTTATTTTTGCTCCTTAAAAACACTATGCAGTCCTTTGTTATTCATATTCTGTATATCAAATGTGTTAGAGAAAAGTTATTTTCTTAATATCACACATAATTGCTTTTTCTTCATCTTAATTCACAAGAATGTATCAGAGGGAATTCATTGCTTACCAATTTGCTTTCTGTACTGATCAACAGGAAGTTTTATAGTGGAGGCATCTTTTCTACCCATCTTTGATCTCCAAAATGCCTGCTGCAAAGAAAGAAAATAATTATGATGAAGCCCTAAAAAAATCAAAAGGACTATCTGTGAACTTCAGGAATAATTTATTCCATAAAATCCATTTTTAAAGCAATGGGTAAAAATGCCTTTGAGTTATTCCCAGTAGATATCAGTAAAGAACACAAAATTCTTTCAGATAAATTATCAAGGATACAATTGCTGGTAATTAAATTTCCCAA